GTTACGAGCCTAGCCTAACCAAAAGCCAGAATGAGCTTGCAGGCTGTCCTGAAGGGTCCTGCCTGTGAACGACTGCCAACAATGGGAACGGCCTCAAGGTCTTGTGTCTTCGCTGTGACTGTCTTCACACAATGGCCTTAAACCCCTGGACGGCACACACACGTGTGCACAGGCACGCGGGCACTAGCCGCAGCTCTTCAAGGGCCACATAGGTGCGCCACGCAGTAGGTGACCTCAATTATCGAAATCCTGCGCGTAATCCGCGCACCAATCATACGACCCTTTAATTTGCTTGGCAGACACTTATAAGCAACTGTCACATCTAGCACAGTGAGTTGCAACACGGAGTGGATGCAGCCAGTCCATCGCAGGCGCAGGCTTCGACCCGCGGCCAGACATTCAGTCCTGGATAATTCCAGCGGCACAACTGCCATCCGAGACAGCAAATCCGGGTTTCGTACACAATAAACTCTCCTTCGGGTGGCTTCCGCTTTTGCTCTCGTCTTGTTGTGTTCTCCATTGGGGACTCCAGAGGACGTAATTAGATGGTGAAATGTTACCGTTGCAACAAGAACTACCATATTAAAATAGGGTAGATATCGACGCACGCGTGTTGCGTGGTTTAGACGAAGAATGTTTGCAACTCTGTGCCGAATCTTGTTAACTGTCTAGCCTGTCTAGGAAAGATTGAGTGAGACCAGGGAAGGATACAAATTCCTCACTCTAATACGCCTACGTTCTTTAAAAGCATCATGGTGAGAAATTGTGTTGTGTCTGATAGGGCAATTTTTCCCCTCTCAGGCCTTCGAAAGATGGTTTTAAAATCGGTATTTTTTAGCGATTCCCCTTGGGAAGAGATTTGAATTCATATTCGATGATCAATTTTGTCGTTTGGCATCCACGTCAGCAAATAGGTTGGTTATTTCGCCTAAAACGCTACACAGGTTACTGAAATAAAATACTCCCTGCCATCATGGCCGAAATTCTAGTAGAAATCAGTGCGTATTCCGCTCTGTTTATGTCAGAGTACATGAGACTCTTAGGCCTTAAACCACAGTAGTGGTCAAGTTTCGCGTATTTGCCAGGCGAGGGGGAAAAGATGTGTCGTCCCTAGGTTATGAGTTTTGAAACCGGTCAGAATTTCTATAATATTTAAACCGAGTACCCTTTGTAAATAGAATCCTTCGCAGGCTACTGGCTGGTGTACAGTGCAATCTCGGTTAACGAGTTAAATCTGTCCCAGCACCAGCCTTATCATGAAAAACGTTCTTCTTGCGAAACGTAGCCAATCAAACTGCACCAGTTTACTGATTGGCTGCAGGCGACCGAGAACCCACAGCCAGGGAGAAGGGCTCAACAGCGGACACAGACACACACACGCACTGGAAACTCGTTAACTCAGCGCAAGCTCGTCAGTCGAAACCAATTTTCCGCGAGTGCTTCGCTCGTTAGCTGAGCTGCTCACAGGTGTGGCTACTCGTCAGCCGAGGCTTCAGTGTGTATTGACTGGACTGATTGCAAGCAAGGCCCCTGCTATGTGGCAGTTATGCAGCTTCTACGCAATGGCATAGAAAAGAAAATAGTGCGCGAAACGCTACAAACAGAATAATTTAAGGCGCTCTCAACCGCAATCTATAGCGACAGTATCAGCGGGAGGAAGGACTAACGTATATCGCCGGTTGGGGGCTTAACTGCAATGGCAAGTAAAAAAATTTCACAAAGCTTACTATCAGACTGCACAACAAAAAGCCACTTATGCACTTATGTAGTATTGGCAGCAAGTAGTTAAAGTAGCGCACCGCATAACCCCCCTAGTCCCAGCAACCTTTCGTATGGGACCGGTGGTTATACGGGTTTTGGGAGTGGGGAAATCGGATAGGCAGTAAAGGAAATTGGTAGAAGGTGTAAAGTGGAAAAATGTGGTTGGCTTTGTTTCCCGCGGCCGCTGGGAGTAAGTTGTTCCGCATGTAAATTGAAGGTGTGTGTAGCGCTTCGTGCCGCGGGCTATCCTAACTTAACTCCAGAACGGTAAGTTGGACCTCAGATTAGTTGAATTAGATAAGCTCCTAACCACCATTTCCATTCTTTCAGGAATTTAAAGAAACCTGCATTTTGATAATCGGGTTCTTCCGCAATATGTTAAACGGTAATATAGGTTAGGGAAACCTACATATATTAATCAATAATATTTCTAAATACAATAAAATAAAGATGCATATGACAGTTATTAAAGTATATTCCACTGCCTATCCTAATTCCTCACCCATAAAACCTCTATAAGCCCCGTTTCCACGGGAAAAAAATACTGGGACGAGGGGTATAGGAAGTGCAGTACTTTAACTACTTTTGCCGTAGTATTTATTGCGGATGTGCTCATATCCAGCAAAAGCCGAGTTAATGTCCTTAAGGAACAGTCAGTCTCAAAAAATAAGCAATTATAAATAGATTTTACTGGTTATTTAGGCTGATATAAGACGTAGATGATATCGGATTGCTGAAAGAGCTCAAATGACAAATATAAGAATAAAAGTTGAAATATTCGGAACTGGAGATAAGCAAACTGTTCAAATACCTGAGCCCCCTGTTAGCACTGGTGGTCGATTGGCCTTAGGGTCACTGAGAGCTAGAAAACGAATAAAGTTAATGAAACTTTAGACACTTAAAAAGTCTGATATTTCAGCAGAAATTCAGCTTTGTTACGAGGAATCTCGGTAAAGTGAAGATACAATATCAAGCTGCGGTCTCTGTATATTTATCTCCACATTGAATTAACTTAAACAACAGTATTTTAAAAATGAACACCGCAAAAACAGAGCAGAATATTTTTATTTTAGTTCGGCATTGACACAAACATATACGTAATGGACTACGAACACTGCTTAGCCCCTTTTTAACGGATGAGTTGTTTTTCGCGGTGAAAAGAACCCCGTTATTAGTCTGGTTCATCCATTCGGCCCCGCGTACTTCGGGGAATTCTAGAAGTCACTCACTGGCCCCGTCAAGAAAATTATAAAATATTCTGAATAAGGGAAATTTAGGTATTTTAAAGTCCAAAACATCACATACTACTAACTGGTACCTTGGTTTTGAAGACACCTTAACTCATTTCTAACGCAGCCTTCGACGAGCATTTAGATACTGGTCTTTAGAACATTTTATTCTTGGTAGCATATGTATTCTGACCTGGCGGGTGTTAGAAGCAACAACTTAAGTGGTTGTATATAGCATTCTCGTTAGAACAAAAGTGCCAGTGGTCGTAGCTTCTTTGTATGAACTATTTTCTGGTTATCGACTCCTAGCTTTTATCCATCGCTTGCTTTTAGGGCCCATAACTCCCCTCTGAATTTATCCCCTATTGGATACTTTTTTATCTAATAATATTTCGCGCTATTCACCCTTGTCAAAGTTCATTTTAATTTAAGTCAATACGTAGGTCCCGTGTCTGCAATACAATAAGGCCTAAAACGAAATCTAAATGTAAGGGAAGCGGCTTTGAAAACGGCCTTATCCCCCCATTATATTTATCACTAGAAAATATTGAATGTAATTTAAGAAAAACATCGTGTTTTATAGATTAATGATGTCCTCTCCAACCTGAATGAAAGCTAAATCAAAGTAAATATCCAAATTAAATGAAAATAGCTATATTCTTACTGCTGGTCGGTTTACACGAGGATCCGTTTTCCATGGGAGTTCTAGTCGAAACGATCTATTAACATTGCCTAGTCGAGGTTAAAATTCAGATTCGCTACAACCTGTGGTTTGGATGAGGTCAACTGATAATTTGAAATCTACTAGAAACGGTCAATCCATTGTCATCTATTCTTGTCGATGAGACTTGTGGATTACTGAATTGCTGTCAATATGCGGTGACACCTAGCTGCAGTTCGAAGCCAAACCACTTGTCTTCATATCGTTTTCACGACCGGTACAAAGTCGACCCTGTGTCCCTGTAGTTTTCTCCGCAGGACGTGGATCCGTGACTCCAACGATAGACCATTTGAAACAGAATGCTCGGTCACAATGCAAACCAAATTGATATCTCAGGCTGTTCGGACCAACCGTCATGGATGACCGACTGCTCAAACGTATTGACCAAGAGCGACAGTTTCATTTTCCTACTATATTTACACAATTGAATTAAAATGTCCTAAGTTCAGGAGTATTGGATGCAGCAAAGTCCTCCTTTCTTCTGAAACCTCTTTTACGTAAAAGATGTCAAAATAGCCATTTAGACATGCGTAGGCCCCTATAGCTACATGTTTTAAACTTTTTGAAAACTCGGTTAGAGAGAAAGATATTGCCTGGCTTTATTCATAGTGGAACTGGTTTCTTTATCACAAAGTACTTGTTATAGCTTCGCAGCTTGTAATTTCGATCATTCTAGCTGGTGGTCACGATTGCTAACGAGATCTTCAACGCCCAACGCAGGGGTGCGACCTACTGCGACAGGACTGTGTCATGCGGGCATCTGCCTTACAATACAGCTCACCAGAGTATCCGAATGGTAGCTTTCTCCCCTCAGCGTTTAGGGTGAATGTATGAAATTGTTTACAGTGGTATAGGTTAATTAAGGCTGCACGTACCATAATTGACACCAGGCTTGTGTCCGGTGTCTGATGATGCTGCAGCTATAATGAATATATATATATAATATAATACTAAAGCATATTGCAGGCCTATGCATAAAATCATTACAAAAAGGTAAAATACAATCAGACACGGAGGGACCTAAGTGAATCACAGGGATTTCGTCGTCTAAAGGTCTACTTTATTCACTTTAGACACAGCCGCGGACGCTCGAGTAGTTTTTAATCTAAGTGACAAACAGCTACATTTAGATGTCCAAGCATTTAGAATAGGCACTCTAATACCCGAATTTTCTTTAAGGATTGAGACAACGGGAAAACTGTCTTGTAGCCCCCGCGCAAATGTCTTACAAAATGTCAAATGTCAAACATTTAATTCTTGGTTAGCGAGTGTAAATAAATATTTAATTGCGTTGGGAGTAATCAAAAAATATTAAACTAGAGAAACTTATATTTGTTTCGATGTAATAAACAGAATCAAATCCATCAACATAAGCCTCTGTTGCTCAGGCCGCTGATGCCTATTGAGGGAGATTTGACCTTAGATTGGCGGAATTTAACGAAAAAGGGAAATTAGACCTTATATTGGAGGAATTTAACGAAGGAAAGGGAAAGTTGGGTAACTGAAAATGTGGAAGTAAGTTATTGTTATAAGTCAAAGGCAGATAGGTCTTCTAAAGGCAGTCCTGCCGAAGCAACATCTTTACGTTTGTGTACTGGCAAGAAATGCATGTCATTGACTTTGTACCTACCCTTACTGGCACTGTCCTTGTCGACCTGCGGAACTGGAACTGTACAATATCCAGGGAGAGGAAGTGGCATTATTAGTATTATTTCATTGGGTTTTAATGCATGAAATGGTTGCACAAGCGTTTCTACATGAGTAATGCCAGGCGAAAACTCAATGTTGCACAAAGAAAATAAAATACCCCAAACGTACCAGGAGTGGCGGCAGGACTGACACCAGGACTGGCACCAGGACTGGCACCAGCAATGGCACCAGCAATGGCACCAGCAATGGAACCAGCAATGGCACTACTCCTGTTTCCTGGTCCCATGGGTGCTAAAAGTAAAATAAAACGGGTGGGGCCAAATGAGGACCAATGCTCATCTGCAATTGCACAAAATTTATTCAAGACACTTTACCGTCAAGAAAGAAACTTCCAGGAAGGCCTTTTCTGCCTTATTAGCCGTCGTCAGCTGGAAATACCCTACTCTAATGTAGCGACGGAAATTACCGCCACACTCGAGTTTCGAACCCGCGACCCTGTTAGTTTGAGGCCAATGTCCTAACCACTAGGCTACGAGCCCGACGTCTTGCCGGGTATTGATCGGGACTATACATTATTAAATTGGCATATACCAATCAGTTACAGGGCACATCCACCCTGGTTTTCGATGTCCTTGTTTGTTCTTGATCCCATGAAAGTTGCCGCATGGCATGCGCATGACTCAGATTAATCTACCATTACCTATAAGTAAGGATTCCCGATGGAATCCGAAAGGTCAGGAAAATAAAACTCTTGTTTTCGTGGTCGCACCTTCTTCTTCCGAAAATATTTTTTGTTTGTACTCATTTGGTGGGACTCGTTTCTGCTTTTACACCTTTAATTTTGTACTTAAGGAACGGGTATCCCTCGGTTTTAGAAAAATGTATAGTTATGAGATTTTTTACAACTTTGAGGTGTTCATGCATAAAAAATTGTATCCATAAATTTATTAATGCAAATTACACAGCATGATCCACAAATATTGTAAAATGTAATGAGAATTATGCGACCTCTTCCTCAAACCGCTAGCAGACATTTTTTTCCTTAAATCACAATTTACACAGCATATTGTTTGGATACCTTGAATTCAGGTGTAACAGTCGGTCAACTTAAAAATTATTTGGCCATTAAGAAACATTTTTAAAATTAAAATATACTCTTTTAAGTAGCAAATTTAAAGAAGGTGTAATTTTCTATGAAGCTAGTATAAGAAGGAATATTTTCGTGCATTTTTTCTATAAAATATACTTGAATTTATACAGACAGTCAAAATCCATAAAAAGTGCATGCCATTTAAGTAGCTATTTTTTTACAGAATCCACTTTTTTGTAAGCGGTCATAACAGAACCGACATCGTGGCGTAACTAAAAAGACTTGAGAGTAGACTGACCATAATAAGCATTGCAACCGTACTTAATATTGGTTTGTGAGTGATTACCAGTCTTTCGCAAATTGCGGCATTTCGTTTGCAGCACTCGCTATACTCTAGTCACCGGTGATTCACGCTTACACCATTATTCACTAGAGGCAGTCTAAGGAGATGTGGTTTACTGAAGCACACTGTGCACACTTTCTCTTAATTTTTAACAAAACTGCCCTCCATATTGACATATTTCATTGTCAGAACTTTGATGTATTTGCTGGCGGTAGCCACATTGCCTTGTGAGTAAGCTACTCTTATTTGTAAGGCACTTTTTGGTTCCGTCACCTAATTTGACATCGATGCGAGCAAGTTCTTTTCCAGCCAGCATTCTTGAAAATGCGGTTATATGAAAGTGAGGTCGAGCAACTGATCAAAAATTTATGGATGGTGGATGTGAGGCCAGCATTTGTGCACAGCAACAACTGCCTGGATGAAAGTGTGCCTGTATGAGGGTTCGGGTAACTCTGCGTCGGTGGTGAGTACCCTCTGAATGTCTACAAAAACGCCTTTCTTTAAAATAAACGGGGACTTATATTGGAAGAACATGCAGTGTCTCCGCTCTACACCATAATTTAACCAACCATATTAGTCGCTTCGAGGCAGAATTAATTAAAGGTCATTCACATATGTAAGAAAACATGCGAGAAGAAGTAGATGTGATCACTGGGACAAGAATTTTATTGGTCTGACGTTTCGAAATCCGTCGCCGAGTCATCATCAAAGACAACAGCAGAAACAACCAATTTTACACTCGAGGAACGCAAACGCCAGCGCCAGAGAGCCAGATGGCCGAGCAATCATTATGCCCATGTGTGATGAAAGTTCAGCAGGTCATGTCCCACAAGTCGGCCATCAAGTAATTAACGCACAAGCGGGCCACTTTACTCAATAGGTGAGCCGTTAATTGTCATACATGCGCAGTAGCATAGTAACTGTATCTTATAAATACTGCAGCTTTCTATGTATGAATTACCCGTTTCAGCTGTTGTCTCTGATTATGGATCCACGACGGAGATCGAGACGTCAATGTAATAAAATTCTTGTCGCGGTGACCACATCAACTTCGTCTCAAGGTCCTTCGATTTGCTCATCATGGCTCCTACCGCAAAGCTGTACCTCCTAATTCTCGTAGTCATCGACCAAGCTAAGCTCGGACAAACGTGAGTCCTAACGGTCACAGGCCTCCATAGGACTAAATCAGCCCCCGGTTATACGACAGTTAGATCAATCTATCCGGCGATGTACAAGGTGGACGGTGGCTTGCATGTGAAGTCCTTTTAAGTGATAGTAGACTTGCGCGGCATCCACCT